AAGTTTGTGATAACTACACGTATGATTGGGTTCTGAGTACCCTAAACCCTAAACCCTGAACCTTGGGTTATAACTACCCTGAACCTCCAAGTGATCCATGCTGGGCCCTCCACCAGACATCGTGTTCAAGGTCCTGGATCCACGGGATGCTACGCTCGCTTCGGCTGGCTTGTAGGGTTTAGGGTTTAGGGTTTCGGGTTTCGGGTTTCGGGTTTAGGGTTTAGGGTTTAGGGTTTAGGGTTTGGGGCTTAAGTTTAAGGTTGGCTGAAAGCTTTCTCAACCCCTAAACCCTACTAAGCCCGGGCCCCAAACCCTGTCACCCCATAGCGAACTCTTGGCCTAAACCCTAAACCCTAAACCCTAAACCCCAAACCCTAAACCCTAAACCCTAAACCCTAAACCCCCCAAGGCGGCACCGGCCATGGCTGCGGGCTCTCATGCACCCTGATTTCTGAGGGCCTTGGGGTTCAGGGTGTTGGGTTTGCTTGTGTCTTGTGTCGGAACTCCTTAATACACACCCTTCAGCTGAACTTCTTGAACCCTAAGCCCTTCCTGAGCTTTCGCAAAAAATCAACCCACACACACACAAACAAACAAGTCATACCCCAAACCCGAAACCCGGAACCCGAACCCGAAACCCGAAACCCGAAACCCGAAACCCGAAACCCGAAACCCGAAACCCGAAACCCAAACCCTAAACCCTGTGAAGCCCCCGTCCGGAAAGCTTGGCACGCGCAGTCTGCTGCTGCGAGGCCTTAGCTTCTATGGGCCACTCGCCGGAGGAGGTCGGGCGGGGGGGGGGTGGTTAGACCTCAGAGACCAAACCCTACAAACCCTACAAAACACTACAAAACCCTACAAAGCCCTACAAAACCCTACGAAACCCTACAAACCCTACAAAACCCTAAACCCTAACAAAGCCCCCTAACAAAGCCCCTAACAAAACCCCTAACAAAACCTAGCAAAACGCTACAACCCTACAACCCTACAACCCTACAACCCTACAACCCTACAACCCTACAACCCTACAACCCTACAACCCTACAACCCTACAACCCTACAACCCTACAACCCTACAACCCTACAACCCTACAACCCTACAACCCTACACCCCTACACCCCTACACCCTAAACCCTACAACCCTACACTCAAAACCCTAAACCCTAAACCCTACAGACCCCACAAACAACTGCAGGGCTCAGAAAGCTCTGAGAGCTGCGCTGCTGGCGTCCAGGAAGCTGGAGATGACGAAGTAGGGCCTGAGGGCATAGGGTTTAGGGCTAGGGTTTAGGGTTTAGGGTTTAGGGTTTAGGGTTTAGCGTTTAGGGTTTAGGGTTTAGGGTTTAGGGTTTAGGGTTTAGGGTTTAGGGTTTAGGGTTTAGGGTTTAGGGTTTAGGGTTTAGGGTTTAGGGTGGACTCAGGCATGCTTTCTGCCCTCTGGCTCTTAGTAGGGAGTGGGGGAATTAGGGCCATGCATATACCCCCTTTGAGGGATTGTACAGGGTACTAAGAACCAGCCAGTTCTGGGTTCAGGGTTTGGGGGCCTACGGGTTTAGGGTTTAGGGCTTAGGGTTTAGGGTTGTTCGGGTTTTTAGGGTTTAGGGTTTAGGGTTTCGGTCCAGCCGGAGTCCCAGTGAGTCAGTTCCTGGGAAGAGCGGGTTTGTTTACGGTTTTGGGTTTAGGGTTTAGGGTTTAGGGTTTGAGGGTTTAGGGTTTCGGCTACCTAGCGGTCCATGGGTTCTGAGGATGGCTAGAAGTAGAGCAACTATGGCTATAAATGGCCCTGACCTATCACCCCACCTAGGGTTTGGGGCTACGAGGTGACATCTGTCCGGCAACTCCGAGCAGCACTGAACCCTGAACCCTAAACCCTAAACCCTAAACCCTGAACGCTAAACCCTAAACAACCCTAAACCCCAACCCCCCTCACCCAAATCATCTGGAAGCCGCTGGAGAAAAAAACGCCCTCGAGCTCCGCACCCATCTTCCAGGCTCTGCAGGGCGGCTGCTGGCGCCTTCGAGAGACGGCACGCCCCGGTTCGTCGGGGGGCAGAGCTCAAACTACTTTTTGCTTGAAGAAGCCCCCCAAAAAAGAAAGCATTTCACTCCATGGCTCTTATAAGGAAGAATATTCTGTTGCTGTTGCTTTCTTCTTTCTGCTGTTTGTTTTTTTGGGGGGTTGTTCTGGAGCAAATACTAGTGAACAAAGAGTCTTTTTTGCGGGCGTTTAGGTTTGTTTTTTGGTATTTAGGTTGCTTTAGTACGCTAGAGTGTTTAGGGTTCTTTGGGTTCTTAGGGTTTTTGGGGGGTTTAGGGTTGGTTTCTGTAGGGCTTCGAGCTAACAGGGTTAAGGCTCAGGGGTATCAAACTTCCAGGTCCGCGCACTTCCCTGCGCTCTTCGAGTGGGCGACCCTCTGAGGTTGGAACCATGGGCCCTTAGTTGTCCCTTGCCCTTGCTTAGAGGGATAAGGGCCCTTAGTTATGTAATAGTGTATTTCAGGGATATATAACAGGGGACCCAAATTAAGGGCCCAGACTTCGGACCCTAGACTCTTGCTGAAACCAAATCACTTGAAAGCTGCATGGAACAGGGCTTAGGGCTTCTAGGGCTTTAGGGCTTATAGGGCTTTAGGGCCTAGCTTTTGGGCTTAGGGTTTAGGGCTTAGGGTTTAGGGTTGGGGTTTAGGGCGCGGATGTGGCCATAGGGAAATTTTAGGGCTCAAGTGGCAAGGACCATGCCATCGGCTGCCTTCTCATCCATTTCATGTCTCTGCCTCAGAGAAGTTGGGGGGTTTCTTAAGATAGGGATGCCTTGTTTAGGGGTCCCTTTAAGGGGATGGGGGGTTTCTTGAAATAGGGGTACCTTTTCTAGGGGTGCCTTTAAGGGGATTCTAGCCTATTTGGGGTTTCAAAGGGGTACCCCTCTTTTGGGAACTGCCCAGTTCTCACGCGAGACCCTCCCTCCACGCAGCACGCCCTCGTGGGGGCTGAACTACTCTCGACTGGGACTGGAACTTGCTTGACTCGCTGCTCAGAAGATTCGGCAGCGGTGCTGAGCCCCGAAGATGGCAAACATGCACAAAGTCACAAAGTACGCTTTCTCAGGGCCCCACAGTGGGGAAATCAGCGGATCGATCAGGTCCATGTCCTTTCGGCGGCAAAGCTCACGACTCTCAGCTTTGAAGGGTTGTGGCGCGCGTGGCGCAGGACCTGCACGTACTTGGAGGTTTGGAGGTTCATGGGCACTCATAACCCCAATTATAACTGTACTCAGTTATATTGGGGTTATAAGTACCCATGAACCTCCCAGTAGGCTCCAGGAAGTATACCGTCATCCTGAAGACAAGGCTTGCAATGCGGGGGTTCTGGGGTTTACGCCTACGCTGCAGTTTGGCACTCCCGAGAAACGCCGCACGTATGAAAGAGCACAAGCGGCATGAAAACCAGGCGGCCTCCGATGGCACCTGGCCCGGGAAGGCCTGCACCAGGCTCATGGTCACAGCAACTTAGGCAAGGAAAGAGTTTAGGGTTTTGGGCTTAAGGTTTAGGGTTCAGGGCTGCGGGGTTAGGGTTTAGGGCCCGGGGCGCAGTGATTGTGAAAGGCCGCCGACATGTTCACCTCCGTCGCGCAGTACCCTGAGCGCTACGACCTCAGCCATGAAAGTCACGAGAGCACGCCCTTACGGGAAACCCTAAACCCTCGAACCCTGAACCCTGCACCCAAAATAAACCCTTGAACCCTTGAACCCTTGAACCCTTGAAGCCTTGAACCCTTGAACCCTTGAACCCTTGAACCCTTGAACCCCTGAACCCTTGAACCCTTGAACCCTAAAACCTGAAGCCCTGAAGCTCTGAACCCTCGCACCCTGCCGGCCTTGGCCGCAGTTTCTAAGAATCGGCCCAGGGCGTGGAAGGCCCAAGGGTAGGCCTGACTCAGCAGAAAGGTTCAAGGGTTTTGGGCTTATCGTTTAGGATTGTTGAGTACAAATAGCAAAACTTCACCTACACCCCCAGACAACCGCCTCGACCTCTGGATGAACATCTCGACACCCTGTACGGCCGAAACGAGCAAACCGTCCCAACCCTGAGCCCTAAGCCCTGAACTCCTAAGCGAGCTAACACCTGCACCTAAGCCCCGATAACCCTTCAAGAACAATTAAAGGAGTCTGAAAACCTAAACTCATGCACGTTCAAAAAACGATCAATAAAGCCCACAAAACCCTAATCCCCACATATACTACACAAGCCCTGAACCCTGGCCCTGAACCCTCATGCCCCAAACTCTTAAAACGCTAGAACTCGACCCCCTAAACCCCCCTACACCCCCTAGATCCCCCTAAACCCTAAACCCTAAACCCTAAACCCTAAACCCTAAACCCTAAACCCCAAACCCGAAACCCTAAACCCTAAACCCTAAACCCTAAACCCTAAACCCTAAACCCCAAACCCTTCTTTTCTTCCACAGCGGCGGCTCCCCCCAGTCCTGCAATCGGAAGCCGCCGAGTCGACTCGACCAAATGAGGCCCGGGGCTTCCGAGTCTCCCACCACGGGGTTTAGGGTTTAGGGTTTAGGGTTTAGGGTTTAGGGGGTAGGGTTTAGGGGGTAGGGGTTAGGGTTTAGGGTTTGGGGGTTTAGAGGGGTTTGGGTTTTGCTCTTGGGAGTCAAGGTGCTTTGGTTGAGGGGTCCAGGGTTTTCGACCTTGGGATTCAGCAGTGCAGGGCCGAGAGGTAGCTTACCTTAAATCCCGAAAGCCTCGAGGTTTGGGTGGTTCGGCATTCTTCTACACAAAACTCGGAGTTGCAGCGGAGGCCGAACACAACGGTGCTTGCAAAATGGGTCATATGGCCGTTTGGACTGCTGGGGCTTGGTTCAGGGCTTAGGGCTTAGGGTTTTGTTCGTACCCCAGACGGCATGGGAGGGTTCGTACGTTCCGCCGCAGTCCTTCCCTCCGAGCTGTAACCCCACTCTAAGTCGAGCCACGAGAACAGGCGAGGAAGTTCACTGTTCACTGCATGCTGCTGTACGTTCCTCATTGCACGCCATGTCGAGAACGCCCGCCCAGCGCGGCCATTGGCGAATGTCGTGCTGCCACCAGCCGCAGCGAGGGCACTGGTTGGAGATCTGGGTGCTGCCCTGCCACTCCCCATGATGGGCATCCAGATCTTGACAGGCCATGTGGTCGATGGGCCCGTAGCCGCAGCCCGCACACTGCACGGCATTGGGCATTGAGCGGAGCAGGGACTCACGTAGCACTTCAGGATCTTCCTCGCGGTCGTGTTGGAGCTGCCACTGGCGGTGGTTCTCATCTGCCTCAGCAGTTGCTTGCAGCTGTGACCAGAGCTCCGTGGGCACGCGTGGCCTTAGGGCCTCCAGTTGCAGGAACCCTTGGCAATCGCTGCTCCGACCACTGGGACAGCGAACGCAATGCCCGAACGCCCGCCTTTCCATCAAGCGCCTGCCACTCTCTTCGTCACTTTGAAGCTCACTGCGCACATAGAGCGGCAGGCAACCCGAGCACAAGAAGTGTGCAGCAGAGGGCTCGTCGCAGCAACACCAGATGCCACAGATCTTCTGCTCCAGACAGATTATGCACGTCTCTGGTGCTTGAGACGGGGTTTCGGGTGCTTGTGGAATTTGGGACCCAGAAGCCGTGAGCGAACCGGCATCCTCCATCGATTGACGGATGGCCCGGGACAGTTCTTCCTGGAAGAGGCGGTCCTCTTCGGCACTGCGGAGAGATGCTTCCAACGCTTCCCTCAAGTCTGCATCAGAGGGGTCGAGAGCACCTTCCTGCAAGGGCCCCTGCTGGCCAATCCTACCGCCTCTCGGCAAGGGCTGGGCGGGCAGCATCTGCACCCGCGGCGCCTGAGGGCACCACCAGCCATTCCCCAGCCACTCTGGGCGGCAGTGCTGGCATCGGCAAGCCATGGGTCAGCTTGTAGGGGAGCCCTTGAACCAGCGCTGGACAAGACAAGGGATTTAGGCTTTGGTCATTGCTACGCCTTCTTTCTCTACGAACCAACATAAACCCTAAACCCTTTTGCCTAGTAAGTAGGGTTCGTAAAGGTAGGCTATGGGGGATTATCATAGGGACTCTCGAAAATATCAAGTAGACTTTCTACGTGCAAAGAGCTTCTCTAAGTTCCAGCCAACAATGGCTCGGATGGCCCCTAAAACCCTCTGAAAATATTCCTGAAGAATATGATCCTCTAGGGAGAATATAACATGTCCCAAGGGCCTACCTAGAGTAAGTGCTAGGGTTTAGGGTTCAGGGTTCAGGGTTCAGGGTTCAGGGTTCAGGGTTCAGGGTTTAGGGTTTGGGGTTTGGGGTTTAGGGTTTAGGGTTTAGGGTTTCGGGTTTCGGGTTTAGGGTTTAGGGTTTAGGGTTTAGAGCACAGGGTGCATGAGTGGAGTTGGCCTCCACGTTGCCTGCCGGAACCACGACCTGGCCAGGGCCAGTGAGGCTGACGACTGGGTTGCGTTGTAGGGTTTAGGGTTTAGGGTTTAGGGTTTAGGGTTTAGGGTTTAGGGTTTAGGGTTTAGGGCTTAGGGTTTGGGGTGTAGGGTTTAGGGTTTAGGGCCTCGGGCACTTGAGGTAATATTGTGGTTCTCTGCTAAGGAACCTAAATGAGGAGGCCTTCCAACCACGCGGTTCCCCTGCAATTCCCCAAACAGAAAAAAGGAGGCCTAACGAAAAGGACACCGACACAAAAATGGACCTAACTCTCGGGGTTTCTTCCAAGTAGGGGTACCGGTGTGGTGTTTTTTTGTGGGCATGGAGGGGATGCTACAAGAAGGCTGGTAGTCCTACATTGCGTTAACATAAGATGGATTCAAAGTAGTACCTAGGTACGATGGCATCCTTGCGACTCCATGACTTTTACGTTCCGTAACATCAAGCCGCATAAGGACTGTGTATTCAAAATAGAAATTATCATAGTAGTAATAGTAGCAATACTTAAGATTCTTATACTAACAATAATCAGAATAATCAGAACCATAATAATCATCATTCTGCATGAGGTTCCCTGTTGAGCCTTTTCGTAGGGAGCCAGGAGCCCGATGAAGGGGCACATCATCTAGACCACTGTAGACGAACTAGGGTTAGGGTTTAGGGTTTAGGGTTTAGGCTTTTAGGGTTTAGGGTTCCGGGTTTAGGTTTTAGGGTTCAGGGTCTGGAAGAGTAGCCTGGTAGATACTGCGTGTGGACGCCATACTTGACTTTCGAGAGGTTGCTTCTGCAAGCAGCTTGACGTTGGGGAGCTGAATCATAGCCGGAACAGGCAAACCAGGGCTAACCGGGAACCCTGATCAACTCGAAACTCTAAACCCTCTATACCCGAAACCCTAAACTCTCTACACCCTAAACCCTAAACCCTAAACCCTAAACCCTAAACCCTCTACACCCTCAACCCCTTAAAAACGCCTGCGATCCGTCGGTCCACGGATTCATCCGAGAGTAGACCTTTGCTGTCGAGGCGGCCTAGGGTTGAGGGTTTAGGGTTTAGGATTGAGGGCTTAGGGGGTCGAGGGTTTAGTTTGAAACCCAACGACCCTCTTCCGGAAGCCAAGTCGCGACCCCTTAGCTACCTGCTTTGAACCCTACACCCCAAAACCCTTCAACCATAGACCCTAAACCCTTTAAACCCCTCAACCCTCCAGCCTTCACCCTAAACCCTAAACCCCAAAATCCTAAACCCTAAACCCCGAAATCCTAAACCCTAAAACCTAACCCCTAAACCCTAAATCCCTGAACCCTCAACCCTAAACCCTAAACCCCAAAACCCCTGCCGGGATTCCCGCCATGCTTTTGGAGCACGCTTCCATCTGGCCAGCGAGTTGTGAGGCTGAGGGCTTCTGGCTTAGGGCGTAGGGCTTAGGGCTTAGGGCTCAGGGTTTACGGTTTTAGGGTTTAGGGTTGGGGGTTGGGGGTTTAGGGTTTAGGGTTTAGGGTTTAGGGTTTAGGGCTTAGGGTTTAGGTTTAGAGAATCCCCCCCCCCCCCCCCCCCCTAAAACTGCACTTCCCTCGCCCCCTAAATCGGCTGTCCCCCATCTACTCGCGGATACGAAGCTCCAGCCTTTCTAAAGCATATGTGACCCAGTTGCGCAGCGCAATCCTGGCTCCCTTTCCCCAATCTGGGAAGATACCGAATCCTATAACCTGACTATCATATGACTGCTCTAGGGTCTTTAGCTGCCGGGTCTGGAACAAGGGACCCCCCCTCCCCCTCCCCCACCCTCAGCCACGAACAAATCAAGAGCAACTCACCACATGAGCGGGTCCTACAGACTCCCTGCACCAAACAGGCAGGCTCAGTGTTTAAACGCTTTAAAAAGTCCTACAGCCCCAAAGCCCTAAACCCCAAAGCCCCCTAAACCCTAAACCCTAAACCCTAAACCCTAAACCCCAAACCCTAAACCCTAAACCCTAAACCCTAAACCCCGGCCTGGATGGGGAGCTCTTGGGCCCCCAAAGATTCCCGGGGCGGTTTCCCCCTCTGGCAGATGGGGTTTGATCCTTAAGGCCTGTCAGGGTGCGAGGAGCGGCGGCACGTGCCCTCTTGCCATGGTGTTGCCAGAACTCTCGAATTCATGGCCCTTTTTCGGGCGGGGTACCCTGCATGCATGCATATACATACATACATATATATGCACATACACATACACATACACATACACATGCACATACACATACACATACACATACATACACATACACATACACGTACACGTACACGTACACATACACATACACATACACATAGACAGACACATACACAGACACATACACATACATACACATACATACACATACATACACATACATACACATACATACACATACATACACATACATACACATACATACACATACATACACATACATACACATACATACACATACATACACATACATACACATACATACACATACATACACGTACATACACATAAATACACATACATACATTCATACATACCTACATACATACATACATACGTACGTACATACATACATGCATACATACATACATACATACACCTATTTAGGAGCCCATAGACTATGCAAAGCTACAAACACGAGTCCCTGCCACGTGCACGGCATCCTGACCGTGCATCGGAGCTTTTGAAGACTTGGAGTGACTGCTTCTGGCAGCTCGGCTACCACTGGGCTACCAAGGGATCCCCGCTGTTGAAAGAGCACGTTCCCAAGAAGTCAGGGAACCTGCCCATAAGTGCCACATAGGTTTGAACTGAACCTTGGCCCCTAAGCCAAGTTGCCCTTGGGGCCGTGGAAGAGCAAGCAAAAGCCACTTTTGTTGCCCTGCGCAAGCTGGGTCGAAGAGACCCGACGGTGCCGATCACAAGGGTTTCCGACCTTTGATCCTACGAACCCGGCAAAACCAGACTAAACCTCTAAGCCCTAAGCCCGTAAATCTCTACAAGCCCAAGATTAAGCCTGCAAACCCTGAACCCCGCAAGCTTTAAGGCCATACATCCCTATAAACCTTGCCACCGTCCTAGATACACTGATACTGTAAACCCCAAAATCCTACAGCCATAAACAGGGCTCTTGTTCGCCCAGACGCTGGCTTCGAGATCATTGGAAGGCATAGCCAAGCCTGGCTAAGGCGTCAAGCTTTCGCCTTTAGCCTTTTTGGGGCTTGCTTGGAAGCCCTTAAGTTTGACTGAGTAAGGCAGGGTTAGTACCGGTGGGTTTTCTGGGATTCTAAAAAGGGGTTTCTGGGGTGACACTAAGTAGACTTACTCAGTCCAAACAGGGCTTCCAAGTGGGGCCTTGGGGTTCATATTAGGGTTCCTATTATAATTTAAGGTATATTCCTTAATTAAGGGGTTTTGGAGTCTCTGGGTATCGATCGACCCCCACTCGAAGGTTAAGGGGACTGACTGTAGGGGGCCTGAATAGTTATAATAGGGTCCTAGGGGGTTATTGTAGTACAGCTACAAAGGGACCATAAGGGAATACGGTTAGAAACTATTCCGACCCCTATATTACATCGGGTTGAGGGTTTGCAGTCTAGGCTTGATGAAGTGCAGCTACATTTGCAGTGATGGGTGATGGTTGAGGCTATAAATCCTACTTATCATCCCCACTGACTGGCCACGTTACAGTAGGGGATTCCTTAGGCTGCTCCGTTATGGCGACCTAGTTGCTGTTGAGCCGTTTACGCTGTACACACATACATACATACATACATGCATGCATGCATGCATGCATGCATGCATACATACATACATACATACATATATTGATACATAGATCATAACGGGGTGATACGGGTCTCAGAAACCATTTAGGCTCTTGCAGTACGAAGAGAAGCAAAGTTGGAAAGTTGGTGGCCCTGCCTCACAGCCGCCAGGACCGACCTGGGCGAGAATCATGTACAGCTTCAGGTTAAAACTGTTTAGGGCTTAGGGTTTAGGGTTTAGGGTTTAGGGTTTAGGGTTTAGGGTTTAGGGTTTAGGGTTTAGGTTTGGGGAAGATACACCCAATAATTCGCACCGGATAAATCCCCAGGAAGGAAAACTCCCTTCTTTAAGGAGTATATAGGTTGCTTGGAAACCTTCCACGAAAGGGCTACGCCTGAATCTTTGCAGGGATCAAAATTTTGGAGTTCACGTGTCTGCCTAACGGCACTGACCCCTAGACAAGCATTGGGCTCTAGCCGCGAAAGCCCCCAAAACCCCTTATGTGCACATCCCCATGCAGGGCCGTTCAAACCATTCAAACACTGCAGAAAAGTAGCATTGATGATAAACGACAGGCAGACAAAAATCAAGCAAAAAAGGAACGACAAGCAAAAACACAAAGCAACTAAAAACACCGCCAGCTGGGATCTCGGCGCCGCTCCGTCAGCGGCCCAACCTTCCCTTGACCTCTTCTGGCTTGGGGTTTCGGGGTGACCTTGGGGTTCAGGGGGGGCGGATTTTGGGGTTGGGCGCTTGGAGGGACTGCACGGCTACATGAGGGGGGCCGAACAAGGGGAGGGGGGGGGGGTGTTCGGGGTAGTTCCTGGCATGGGCAGCTGTGGCACATTCACAACCCTCAACCCTAAACAATGCCCGAGCCGTCCCTAACCTCTTTCTAGGATTGCCCCTAAAACTTTCTGAACAACATTCCGGCAAATACAAGACGTCCCCAAGGCCTACCTAGCTGCTGCTGAGGGAACTGATAACCCCTAAACCCTAAACCCTAAGCCCTCAACCCTCAACCCTCAACCCTAAACCCTAAACCCTAAACCCTCAACCCTAAACCCTAAACCCTAAACCCTAAACCCTAACCCTAAACCCGAAATCCTACCAGGTTGCAACCCGAAGCTGCAGGCCAGGCACTCAGGATTTCGGGCTCGGGACACTCGACAGGAGCAGTGCCAACTCAGGGTCCCTTTCGAGTCTAAACCCTAAACCCTAAACTCGAAACCCGAAACCCCTAAACCCTACACACCCCAAAACCCTAAACCCTGAACCCTGAACCCTGAACCCTAACCCTTAAACCCTAAACCCTGAAGTCACAGTGGATCAGGAGCCCTGTGTTGGCGTGGGTTTGGGAACCTAGTCGTACCCAGGTGGACTTCTTAAAATCAGAAAACCCAACGAGCTTAAAGTTCGGGTTCAGGGTTTAGGGTTTAGGATGTAGGATTTAGCGTTTAAGATTTCGAGTTTAGGGCTTTATGATTTAATAGGTTTAGGGTTTAGGGTTTGGGGTTTAGGGTTTAGGGTTTAGGGATTAGGGTTTGGGGTTTAGGGTTTAGGGTTTAGGGTTTAGGGTTTAGGGCTTAGGGCTTAGGGTTTAGGGCTTAGGGTTTAGGGTTTAGGGTTTAGGGTTTAGGGAACCCGGAGATTCTTTTCGCCGGCGGCCAGGTTCAGGCCGGGGGCGGGGTCTTGCGGTCTTGCTCGCCCGACTTGGAGGAGCGAGGGGACTTAGTATGTAGAGGAACTCAGTAGGACTTCTACCCTGGACAAACGGACCCTCCCTACCTAATAACCCTAAACCCTAAACCCTAAACCCTAAACCCTAAACCCTCTACTCAATAAGGTACCCCAAGTACCCCGATCCTCCAAGGAGCCGCTGTCGGCACTCTTTGTGGGAGCTTGTCTCCCAGGGTGCGCTATGCACAAATTGAAGGTTCATGGGTAGCTATGGTTCATTATAGGGGCCTCAAGGGTTTAGGGTTTAGGGTTTAGGGCTTAGGGCTTAGGGCTTAGGGCTTAGGGCTTAGGGCTTAGGGCTTAGGGCTTAGGGCTTAGGGCTTAGGGTTCTTAAAAATTGTAGTTATAAAGGGACCAGAAGGGAATACTACTAGGTGCACGGCCCGTTAAACGCCGTGTAGGATTCGAAGAATTGGCATCTCGTAAATTAGTGATTTTACAGTGCGTTTGTGCTGTTTCCAAGAACATCGCTCTGAAACTACTTCGTCGAGGCCTATTTTCACACAATCGTTCGCAGCTTGTTGAGGAAGTCTGCTGGGCTCAGGTAGCCATCGTGGAAAACATGCATCCGCCACATCCACTGGTGCACGGTCTTTGGAACCTCCTCATTGAGGGCGCCTTGGACTTTGAGCACCAAGTGCTTCGGCAAGAACTGTTTAAGACCTTCCCAGCTCCTGTCGCTGCACTGCGTCCCGGCAAGAGCACTTATGGCTGTACAGGCTGGGGAGTATGGCCGGGTGAAAACTCTTAACTGGTGAGTCACAGGTTCAACTGGAAGGCCACGGGCTTCGGCTGCGGACTGCCACGCAACGTTTCCATCTGGGAAGATGCAGCGTTTTCTGCTTCTTCCTTTGACCAAGTCGAAGAGTTTGGAGGATGCCACCTATGGGTGAAGATTGGCTTAGGAAGGGGATTTCAGGGCCAACACATCCTAAGTATAACTTTTCATAAAAGCAACGGGGTTGATGGGCCCTTACAATTGGGTCAGAGCTACAGTTATTGGTGTGTGACAAAATGGGAGCCTGCTGGGACTCCTCAGAAGAAGCCCGTCTCTCTGCTTCCATGGAATGGGAACTGCAAACCTCAGAATCTCCGTCATACTCACATTCTCCGGCCAAAAGAGACGTGTCCAGAGGCGCGTGGAAAATGTCGTTGGAGGAAGATATGCCGAAGGTACACGTAGATTAACAAAAGCAAGTCTTGCCCAACATTGCTGGCATCTTGCGCGTACTTATGCACGTGATTATCCCCCCCCCCCCTGCTACCCCGCAGAGCAGCCAGCCAGACCAACACAGAAGCAAGATTCGCAAATGGCAGCTCCGGCCCACGGCGTTCTACGGGCCGTGAGCCTACTACTAGGAATTATTGCGACCCCTATACTAATTATAGGTCGGGCGGCTGTACTTGTGACTGTATGACTGGTGAGAGCCTTCTTCGGGTACCAAATAACCCCCACTTGCAACCCTAAACCCTAAACCCTAAACCCTAAACCCTAAACCCTAAACCCTAAACCCTAAACCCATGGACCTTCCAGCCGGCGGGCCCAAACTCCTCTAAGGAGAGTAGGGCCGCAAGTCCCCAGAAAGCACTAGGCCCTGGACCACAAAACCGCGGAAGCTCAAACCGTCAGGGCCCTCAACCCTCAACCCTAAACCCTCAAACCTGAACCCTAAACCCTAAACCCCAAACCCCAAACCCCAAACCCTAAACCCTAAACCCTAAACAGGTTTCTAGGGCGCATGAAACGTCGGCTCACACGCTGCTGCAAGATGCATCGCTCTCTGAGCTCACGGATTCCGAGTCGCTGCCCAGGGAGCCCCGGAAGCAACCTGTAGGGTTCAGGGTTTAGGGTTTAGGGTTTAGGGCTTAGGGCTTAGGGCTTAGGGCTTGGGGCTTAGGGTTTAGGGTTTAGGGTTTAGGGTTTAGGGTTTTGGGTTTAGGGTTTAGGGTTTAGGGTTTAGGGTTTAGGGTTTAGGGTTTATGTAAGGCGCTTGATATACTTGGAGGTTCATGAGTGTACTTATAAGCCCCCGAAGTCCCCTAAGTAGGTTATAAGTACAGCGATAATTGGGTGAACCTCCAAGCAGGGCCTTAATAATTAGAAATAGGGCCTTGGGAGAGGGGGGGTTACCATAGTATAAGTATACAAGTATGCAGGGACCATAAGGGAAAGCAATGCGTAAGTACTCCGACCTAGATTAGAGGGGCTGGCTTTTGAGGGAGCCATGGGTTCAGGGTTTAGGGAGCTTAGGGTTCAGGGTCTAGGGCTCTATGCTGGTGATGCTCCACCCTCCCTATACGCAGGACAGTACCTACCCAGCGTCTTAAGGGTTTAGGGTTTGGGGTTTGGGGTTTGGGTTTTGGGGTTTGGGGTTTGGGGTTGAGGCCAGCAAAAGAGATCGAAACTGTCCCAAGCGGCAGATCATCGGCATGCTCTTCTGTGCCATCTCAAGGGACCTTTCGTGGGTCTACACCATCTTCTGGGACTTCGCGCTTCAGGCTCTATCTGTGTTTGTTCGGGGAGAAAAAAAAAGGCTCCATGAGCATTCGCTGCTTGTAGCTAGGGAAGGTTAGGGCACTCTAAGCCAGCTTTACGGCTTGACCCACAAGCACAAGGCAGCCGGTAAGCCCCCAAACCTTCGGGCACACGATGCCCCAGCAGCTAAGCCGGAAGCATACACATCAGCTTGGGCATCCCAGGGTGGGCATTGAAGGTTTAGGGTTTAGGGTTTAGGGTTTAGGGTGTAGGGTTTAGGGTTTAGGGTTTAGGGCTTAGGGTTTAGGGTTTAGGGTTTAGGGTTTAGGGTTTAGGGTTTAGGGTTTAGGTTCGGGGTTTAGGGTTTAGGGATTAGGGCTTCAAATTAGGCGTTTCAGTGACAGGGTTTAGGGTTTAGGGTTTAGGGTTGAGGTTCGGGGTTTAGGGTTTAGGGATTAGGGCTTCAAATTAGGCGTTTCAGGGTGGGTTCAGGGTTCATATTTGCAGCAGTTCTCTTACATAAGGTCTCTTTTTGGGGGGTCCTTTGTTATAGGGGACCCAAGAAAGGACCCTTATCAGAGAACTGCTACCCAAATGGCTGCATGTGGCAACGATGCAAGACAACGCCCCGCAAGCTACTTGGGGTTAAGGGTTGAATAGGCCGAAGTTTGGGTTCACCTAAACCCTAAACCCTAAACCCTAAACCCTAAACCCTAAACCCTAAACCCTGAACCCCCTTTCGCGGCCCGGGAGGCAACGTTGATCGCTTGACAATGGCTGCGACGTGTTTGGAGCGCTCGATACCATCCAGCCTTGGGCACTTGGAGGTTCAGGGGCACTTATAGCCCCAAGTCTTCTGTACTTCTAAGCCCCCTAAGTCCTTAGGCTACACAAGTACAGTTATAATTGGGGTTAGACGTACCCATGAACCTCCAAGTACGGCTTGGGACTGGGCTTGGGATGTTTAGGCTGTCAGCTGCAAGGTCACACAAAGAACAACCAGGGCTTAGGATTCAGAACAACCAAGGCTTAGGATTCAGGGTTTAGGGTTTAGGATTCAGGGTTTCGGGTTTAGGATTCAGGGTTTCGGGTTTAGGAATTAGGGTCCAGGGTCCAACATCATTAGTTCAAGGAGCCAACCGCCAAAGAGGCCCTGCGCGCTGAAAACCAGCTGCTGAAGCCTCTCTGTTGAGCAGCGGAGCAGCTGAAAACGCAACAAAGCCCTGAAACTCGCAGACCTCGGCGCCCCTGTGCGCTTGAGGGTTTGGGGTTTAGGGTTTAAGGTTTAGGGTTTAAGGTTTAGGGTTTAAGGTTTAGGGTTCACACCCGCGAACCCTCCAGAATACCTGAGGTTGAAGACATCGACGTCGGCAATCTTGGAAAGGATCATGTCCTTGTCCCTCTGTACGGAGGCTTCGCAGTCGCGGACGTCCAGCAACAAGAGCCGCTCGTAGTTCCTCGGAACTCCCCTTAGAACCTTAATCAATATACCATTTCCATTATTCCCTGGGGCTTTATACAAGCAAACCAAGTAAATTCAAAGAATCATATTATAGGGTCTTAGAACCTTAATGACAACATTATTTCCGTTATTCCCTGGGGGTTGATGCAAACAAGACAGGAAAGAATTCCTAAGGGGGCTATCGTTTCTATTCTTCCCTTGGGTTTTATACCAATACATTCAAATAAATCAACTAAATCTAGAATAAATCAAATAAATCCAAAAAATGATTCCTAAGGGGGCTATAGGTTCTCATCCACCGCATCCTTTGAGAAGACCGCGATGCGGGCCGGGATGCCAAGAATGTTTCCCTCAACGATCTCGGCCACGCACCAGGCCCTGCGTTTACTGTTCAGGGTTTAGGGTTTAGGGTTTAGGGTTTAGGGCTGTTTACTTGAACTTGAACCGCGTGCTCGACACCAAGCTGTGCCTACTTAGTCTGCGGTTAGACGCCAAAAACACCAATGGAAGCCGCTTTGGTGCTGTTTAGGTTTTAGGGTCTAGGGTCTAGGGTTTAGGGTTTAGGGTTTAGGGTTTAGGGGGCCAAAAGGGGTCAGGGGCGGAAGAGGGGGGGGGGGAGGGGTGAGCTAAAAAGAGCGGAGGGCCCTCTTTGGTTTCAAGGTCGACCTGGCCCCGACAGTCCAGCAAGGGAGCCATCCAGCCGAAATCCGAAATCGCTGAAGACCCCTAAGCCCTAAGCCCTAAACCCTAAACCCTAGACCCTAAACCCTAAACCCTTCTTGAAAACAAACTACCTAAAGGGGGCTCGAGACATGTGCCCCCGCATACGGATGACGACGCTCCTGTAGAGCACGTCGAAGTGCGGATCCACGACGACCACCTGGGCCACGCCGGCGACCTTTCGCGTCAGCAGGAACATGGTGCTGTCGAATTTGTTCACCTCACAGGCCACAAAGTCGTGAGACGTTTTGGGCTCGAGGCAGGAGCACAAAGGATAGCGCTCGCCCGTGACAGAGTCGCGCGTCTTCCGGTCCCAGGCGAGCCACGCGTCGCCGGCCGTGTTGGCGGGGCTCGGCCCGAAGCTGTGGCAAATGGTGGCATGCTGGTTGATGGAGAATGCGCAGACCCAGTAAGTCGAATCCAGCTTCTCGGCCGGCAGTTCTGACACGATCCCCGCCAGCCCCGTCTTCGTGCCGAGGCGCTGCACAAGGTCACCATAGGTCTCCTGGCCGAGGGCATCTGCCACGATGGCGGCCGACAAGTTGGCAAAGGTGTTTGACCAAGCATGCGTCACCATGTGCTGCGGCACCAGGGCCTCCCCACGATTCCATTTGCTGGAAAGGGCAAAGCCTCGAGTACCCGTGCGCGACAGAGGGATTATAGCCCCTCGGACGACGTCACAGGTTGTCGAGCGCTCGGGGCAGAACCCAGGCATCACGGCTCCCTCGAGAAGCAAGCCCCAGAAGTCGAGCAGTGAGTGGAGGTGAAAGCCTCGTCCAGCCAGCTCCGCCGCTTTGGCTCCGTATTCGTGGCTGTCCTCGAGATACGAAAAGCTGCTGCCAGATCGTATCCTCGACCTCTCCTCGACCTTCACCAGGTCGTTGGCCTGGGGCAGAGGAGCCCGCCACAGGACGCCGGACAGCAGTGCGACGCCGACTGCATTGACCATCACGTCACAGCGGTGGAGAAGCGTCCTCACGCGACCCCACCAGCGAGCAGTCTCCTCGTCACTGATGCAGCACATGTCGGCAATGCTGAACGACACCGCAACCAGCCAAGTGGCAAAAGTTGTGAGGCCAATCAGCAGCGAGACCACAATCTCCATACGAACGATGCGCGTGGCCCAGTGCGCCTGCTGCCGTGCTACGCCCCTCGTCCGCCGGCGTTCCAGGCGCAAGACGCGTGAGCTGTGGCAGAGGCTCCTGACCATCAAGCAGGTGTAGGATATCCAGATGACCAAGAACATCATCTTGAAAGCAATCGAGGCGATGTGCAGTACCACAAAGGCCCTAAAGTCCCGCCGCACGAATGACTCGATCAAAACCAGCTCGACGTTGCCTTGAAAGGTAATCACCATTGTGTACCTGGCGGCGGCTGCGGTTATGGCGGCGAAGACTGCGCGTGAAGCCCTTACTTGTGGCTTATGAAACCATAGACGAGAGTATCGATGGCAACCCAAAGAGCAATCAGAGACACATAGAGACACGGACACAGGGACGGAGAAACAGAAAACTGCCACGAATGATGTTCTCACGCTGATGCGGCCTGAGAGTCTGAAGCCAAGTGCCTGAACCCTAATTAAGCCCTAAGCCCTAAACCCTAAATTATTCACTCACTCTCCTCATCATGTTATTCTTAGCTTCTCAGGGCCTGTATTTACTGTATAATACAATATGACTTTATTTACATATACATGTGTGTATAATATATATATATATATTGATATTGATATTATCACTAGAAAAACGTGCTAAAAACAATCGTGAATGAAAAGATTTGCGAAATACAAGAAGTTTATGAACGCTTCGCTCTTGTCATTAAGAAGTCAGGTGTGTTTCCAAAACGACAAACAAACTGCATTGGATTCATTGCTCACGCGTGAAGCGACTTCAGAAATGGTACATTCGCGAGAACTTGTATCTGTGCTGTTGATATTCTCACGTCGCTCGGAAGCCTAAACAATAACAAGCTCGCGAACGCGCAGGCGCGGAGGACAGTCGAGGCGCACCCAGGCATTGGAACTGGTCAAGCTGTCGTCCCCGGCCGACTGCATCCTTACCTGGAAGAGTCGCGCGACCCACCCAAAGAGCACAGCCTCAGGGAGCGTGGGCTCACAGGCTCAATGGGCCATCGGGGGGGTTCTCCAGCAACGGAATTTAAGGGTTTAGGGTTTAGGGTTTAGGGTTTAGGGTCTAGGGTTTAGGGTTTAGGGTCCATTTAAGGGTGGGCTATGTGGGATACTTTGCGGGCCTCGGTGGTTAATGCCAGGGCTGCGGTCAATTGGCTCAGGTCCTGCCAATCGCACTCCATGTAGATGTCCTTCGGGTTTGGGCTTCTTAGGGTTTAGGGCTGCTTGTATGGCCCGAAGTAGGGTACAACCACTTACAAAGAGACTAGAGCTACCTCGTCTTTCTTTGAACTACCCATGAACAACTACCTTTTGCCTAAGAACCCCAAAAAAAACACTAAATCATATCCCCATATTGCCCTTGTAAGGAAAAGATCTTGGGAGGGATTCTCAAGCAATTACAGGGATGTCTTGCCCCGGTGGTCCATGGCAATGTAGAGGAGTGAGGTCGCTGAGAAGCCATAGACGCACCACAGAGCATCGTACACATACCTAGGATGGCCCTTAAAGCCCTCTGAAAAGTAGTCCTGAAATATATTTCTCTGAAAACCCAATAAGGGGGCAAATTGACAATGTTTCAAGGGACTACCGAGACACCCGGAGGTGGGGTGGCGCTTCACGGCGCAGTAGAGCCCTAGAATCACCATTCCGGCACAGTCTAGGAGGCTCAGCCACCGATGTCTGATGCCCCCACTGTTGCAGTCTGGTGTGTAGAGCCAGTGCCACTGGAACTCGACAATGTAGGTGCACAGGCCAAGAAGCATGGCGCAGCCGGTGACCTTGCAGCAGAAGGGCTGGGCGTTGCGCTCCGCATTCCCGGGCACGTGCCTTGCTGTTGCTTCGTAGGGAATGGGGGAATGAGGTACCCTATATAATCCCTACATACTCCCTTAGAGGGAATATATAATCCATATATCATCCCTTAAAGGGTAATTATATAAAATATACATATACCCTTTAAGGGATTACATATGTATGTATGTGTATATCTATGTGTATATATGTATCTATATAGGTATAGGGTACCGAATAACAGTAGCGAAGGTGCACCACTGCAAGAAGGAGGCCCGTGAGCACGCCAAGCAGCGAGGGCGCCAGCTTCATCTCCCAGGTGGCCGACTCCTGCTTTAAGGGCCCTTGACAGCTCAGTAAGATTATACTAGGGATTATATTTATGCCCTTCAAGGGATTATATATATATATACTAATATATACCCTTTAAGGGACTATATAGGGATTATGTAGGTGGCAGGCTCCTCCACAATGGCCCGGAAGACCGGTGCTTTCCTTTGAGGGTTTAGGGTTTTTAAGATTTAGGGTTTAGGGTTTAGGGTTTTTAAGGTTTAGGGTTCAGGGTTCAGGGTTCAGGGTTCAGGGTTTAGGGTTTAGGGTTTAGGGTTTAGGGTTTAGGGTTTAGGGTTTAGGGTTTAGGGTTTAGGGCCAGTTTAGGGTTTAGGGTTTAGGGTTTAGGGTTTAGGGTTTAGGGTTTAGGGTTTAGGGTTTAGGGTTTAGGGTTTAGGGTTTAGGGGACCAAGCCCTCCTTAAGAGGAATCATAATAGCGGGCACTACAATCCCTACAAAGGACTGTGAGTAGAAGGGGGAACATCCCAAGGGATAGTATTGAAAACATCTAAACTTCTCTTCCTTTATGAGTTTAATAACCCTTAAAAATGTAGAATGCTACCTGCACTCTGACACAAGTTTCAGGGAAGGTTTAACTACCCTTACCATTTTGACACAAGTTTCAGGGAAGGTGGCAGGGTGGTGGTGGTGGTGGTGCCAGTGGCATCGGGCTCTTCCAGTGTCTCTGCGTAGGCGAGCAGGGCGACGCAGCCGGCGATGCCCAGGAGCCTCAGGCGCGGCTCATAGAGAGCTACAAGGGCACAACGGGCACATGATCCTATCACACATCCCAAAAAAAGGCATGGAATCTTATCAAATTAAGACATATTAAAACCCCCCCCCCCCCCCCCCCCCCCCCCCCCCCCAAAAAAAAATAAGCAAGAGTGTACCAAGCTAGAAGCCGAGAAGCAGCAGCCCTGCGAGCACGCAGCGGCATCTCCGCATCTTGATGCAGCCGCAGGCCATGGACCTATACTGAACTTGGAACCCTAGCAAGACTTATTTTTTTTGCTTTTTCTTAGGAGTTCAAGTACCCAACAATTAAAAGCTACTTCCAAGTTCCTTTCTAAGGGACTCGAAGTCCACAATCCGGGAAGACCCAGGCGCATGGGCGGAGTGGGATGGCAGCACCATCGAACTGTCCACTTTCGGGCTGCCTACCGAAACCCTAAACCCGAAACCCGAAACCCTAAACCCTAAACCCTAAACCCTAAACCCACAAAGCAAAATGAAAGATGGCCCCTAAAGCTGGGATCCCTTGGGGCAAAGCCTCGGCTCCATCCCTCTAAGGTGGCTGCTTCTCAACTTCAGTTTAGGGTTTAGGGTTTAGGGTTTAGGGTTTAGGGTTTAGGGTTTAGGGTTTAGGGTTTAGGTGTTAGGTGTTAGGTGTTGGGAGTTTGAGCTTGGGGTTTCGGAGGCTATTTAAAGGAACAAAGTTCGGGTTCCTTTGAGAACTCCATTGGGGGCACCCGATTCCATAAGCAGACTTCCAGCAGCTAACTAGGGTATGGTCCCAATGCCACACCTTCCTTAAGCAAGGCTGGGTATGGGGGGGGCTGCTGGGGTGCCGAGGGCAACAAGGGACTCAGAGCCAATCAACGGCTTCTCGGGCTTCAGGTTCCATAAAGCTTCGGGGCTTCGCGCCCTCAACCCTAAACCGTAAAGCCCTAACCCTAAACCCTAAACCCTAAACCCTAAACCCTAAACCCTAAAGCCTAAACCCTAAACCCTAAGCCCTAAACCCTAAACCCTAAACCCTAAACCCCTAACCCTAAACCTGTCGGGTCGAGGGCTCCAGGGCTTGGGGGTCTTTGAGGGCTTCTGGTGTCCCGCATCCATCTGACATCCAGAGCACGACGGATCACCAGCTTTCAGAACCCTGGCATCAGCCCGTTTAGGGTTTAGGGTTGAGGGTTTAGGGTTTAGGGTTTGGGGTTTAAGGTTTAGGGAAGCCCTGAATCTAGGGAGGACCTCACTGATCTGCCGCTCCAAGTTTGCCAGCATGTCCTCCCAGCAGACCAACAGGACTGCTGCAGGGCTTTTGGAGTGTTTAGGGTTCAGGGTTTAGGGTTTAGGGTTTAGGGTTTAGGGTTAGGGTTTAGGGTCAGGACCCAACAAACCAGCGAGCCCGATCCGCACGTTCCGTCCCCAAGAAGGTTTAGGGTTTAGGGTCTGCCGGGCTCAGGGTTGCAGGCCTACCTGACCCCGTAGGTGCCGCTGCAAACGGGGCTGCTCGGGCCCTGGGCCTTTGTCCGGCTGCTTCTGATGGCACCCGGGGCTCGGAATCTTGACCCTGTTATGGTCCATACTCATATGATATCAGTAAACCCTAAACCCTAAACCCTAAACCCTAAACCTAAACCCTAAACCCTAAACCCTAAACCCTAAACCCTAAGCCCTAAACCCTAAGCCCTAAACCCTAAACCCTAACCCCAAATCATATGCTTAGGGTGAATAGGGCGTAAATAGGGGAGAAGCGGAGTACGGGGCAGATGCTCCCTTGGTGCTAAAGAGGCCCCGTCCTCGAGGTGCTCCCGTTCCGGCCGGTCGGACTTGCCTCGACCCCAGCAGAGGGCTGAAAACGGTGTAGGCTCTTAAGAGCTCTTAAGGGCTCTTAAGGGCTGGAAGGGCTCTGAAGTCTTAAGAAGCTCTGAAAGGGCTCTAAAAGGCTTCTGCTGGAGCCCTAAAGGAATGGCCCACCCCAAGCCGAACTCCTCAACCCCAAAGTCTCAACACTGAACCTGGAGGGTTCCCCGAAAGCCCTCAACCACTACCGCAAACCGCTAGATCCCTAAATCTCTAAATCCTTAAGACCCAAAGCCATCTTGCAGTTCACACCTCACCTTTTTAAGATTACTACCCCACCTCTCGAATCTAGGATGTAGGGTTTGGGTTTAGGAACCCTAAACCCTAAACCCTAAACCCCACCCACAAAAAAGGATGCAAAAACAACCCATGACAAATCAAGGGTTTTTTGTGGGCCTGACTCGTGTTTTGTGGGACACACACACACATGCAAGCTTGAGTGTGTTTGCTAAGGGTCGAGGGTCGGGGCCCAATCACGAAACCCAAAAGATACCAAAACGAAAGCTTTAGCACTACGCCCCAAACCCTCACAAACCCTATCTTTTCAAGCCCACGCTCCAGCCTAATTCACTAAACGCCTAAACCTAAAGCCCCCTGAACCCCCTTAAGCCAGGGTGGTTTTGCCGCCTGCGACGGCGTGGGGTGGGATAACAGAGTTAGCTGGCTCTCCACAATCGCGCCACGGCTGCTCTTCCTATTTCGCGAAGCTTGCGAAGATTGTCTGCATCCCAACCTTCACAGCTGCTCCATGTTTCTGCAAACCCTGAACCCCGAACCCCAAACCCTAAACCCTAAACCACCCATAAACATTCCGGCCTCGGCCCTTTCCGCCGCTGCCGCCTCGAGACTCCCGGGGAGGCTCCCGGAACGAGTCTCGGGGAGGCTCCCGGCCCTTGGGCCCTCGGCTGGGAGAAATTAGGGTTTGGGGTTTAGGGGTCAGGCTTTAGGGTTAGGGGCTCAAAGTTGTGAGGCTTTAGGGTTCAGCGCTTTGGGGTGTTGAGGGCTCTGGCAAGGCTTAAGAGTCGCTTCCAGCATTCATTATGCAACGATTTTAGTGAGTGATTTCTAGTTTTCAGCCTCTTACAAGAAGGCCTCTTACAGGCAGGCGCCTACCCCCTTACGGACAGGCCCTTAGCAGGGAATTCCCTAGATGCCCAAGCCCCTTTTCGGTTGGGAAAGTCCTGATGAAAGGCCCTTTACGGGCCTTACACTGAGGCCTTTTCGGGGAGGCCCCTTCTCAAAGGGCGCCTTACGGGGAGGCCATCATGGCAGGAGGTGGTATCATGTTGGCCTCGTTCTGTGGGTGTCTTTTGTTGGCTCTAGGAGGGTTGAGACCCTGAAGTAAGAAAGGGAGGGGTGTAGGGTTCAAGGTTTGGGGGTTTAAGGCTTCAGGGCTTAGGGTTCAGGGTTGAGGGTTTATAACGGTCTAAGGGTTTCAGGGTTGAATGGTCTAGGGTATAGGGGTGAGGGGAACCCTAAACCCTAAACCCTAAAACCCTAAAACCCTAAACCCGAACTAGACCCTAAACCCTAAACCCTAATCCCTAATCCCTAATCCCATATCGGGTTTTGAACCCTAAGCAGGCGTGCCGCCCAGCAGCCATCGCGGCCCTTGACGTCCCATCCGCTTCGGCGCTCGCCCTTCCCGCCTGGAAGGTGCCCCCCGCGAGCTGGTTTCCGTTTAGGGTTTAGGGCTTAGGTTTTAGGGTGGGTTTAGGGTTTAGGGTTTAGGGCTTAGGGCTTAGGGCTTAGGGTTTAGGGTTTAGATTTAGGGTTTAGGGTTTAGGGTTTAGGGTTTAGGGTTTAGGGTTTAGGGTTTAGGGTTTAGGGTTTAGAGTTTAGGGTTTAGGGTTTAGGGTTTAGAGTTTAGGGTTTAGGGTTTAGGGTTTAGGGGCCACAGGGAGCTCAAGAACCCAAAAAAAGAGGCCCTCCTTTCACTTTCAGCCGGCGCCAGGACCCTGGGCTGTGGCTCCCAGGTCGAGTTGTGGGTTTCCATGTCTCAGCAATGCAACCTTCAGAGTAACGTAGGAGCCGGAATCATTGGAACAGGTTTTTTTTTCCTTTTCTGTTTTTTATTTATGTTTTTTTTGGGGGGGAGGGGAGGGGGGGTGGGTGGTTAGAGTATGATTACACCTGGGCCATAAGAGAAATAATGGAACACCATTAGATATGCAGAACAGCCTTTTTTTCGGAGGGGGGGAGTAAGGTGATTATAGCATAATCACACAGGGACAGCTACAGGGACCATAAGGGAATGCTATTAGTAGCTATTCCGACCCCTACATTAATCGGTGAAAGCTGTACATCTTGTGTCATGACCTGCAGGTCGCTGGAAAAAAAGAAGAAGCTGGCGTTGGGCAAGTTGCAGGTACGTCCTGGAACTTAGGGTTTAGGGTTTAGGGTTTAGGGTTTAGGGTTGAGGGTTTAGGGTTTAGGGTTCAGGGTTTAGGGGACCTGGGACGTGGTGCTGCAATGCTTGCTACGCTGGGCAAAACCAACCACTCTGCAACGTGCCGACGATTGCCGAAACCATGGCAATGCGTCTACGAGTTGTAGGCTACAGCACACCAACTATGACCGCGAAGCCTGCACTGCACAAGGCATTCTGAACTTCTTTGCGTGACCATTGGCGATGTTCGCCGACGTCGATGGCTGCCACTGTGCAGCAACACAAGAAAACTTCCAGCGACATGAACCGTGAATGATGTACTTCTGTTCCATCTGCCTCTCTAAGTCACCGAGCATGCTGCCCGAGCAGCGGCACTGCCAAACGAGCAGGCAGTGCGACAGACAAAGGGCGACGGCTAAACCAGACCCTGATATGCAGAACTACATCTGTCAAAGGCGCAGCAGATTCCATTTTCGCTGAGCGTAACACAAACTCACAACAAAATCTAGGCAACTGCTACCCCTAAACCCTAAACCTAAACCTTAAACCCTAAACCCTAAACCCTAAACTCTAAACCCTAAACCCTAAACCCTAAACCCTACCTCAATGCAACACATCAGGCTTGGATGCCGCCACTTCAGACCTTCATTCCGCCGACGCAATGATGCACCATCAGTGCAGGGTTGCTCCCGTTGGCAGCAAGATGCTATGACACCCCGTAGAGGGTTTTTAGGGTTTAGGGTTTAGGGTTTAAGGTTACAATTAACCTGAAGCTTTCCTCGCTTGAAACTAGGAGCAAGCCTGCGACGTGCATTTCTAAACCGCGCCGACCCACTGAAGGAGCTGTTCCACGATCGTTCAATCTAAGGGTAGTTACACGTGCCCTTAACATGGTCCCTAACCTCCGTTAAACGGTTCTGATGTATGGGCCCTTATTTGGTATGTGGTGTGTATAAGGGGTATATGAGGGGTACCCTTTCAAGGGCCCATACTACGGGCCATGCAGCTACCCCAAGGATCAAGCTGAAATCCCACCGCTGAGACCCTCGGTACGCAACCCAAGGCCTACAGTGGCCTAGCTCAAAAACGAGCAGTAAAACAACCTGTTCGATGAAGTGTTGCCTCTTGGTGGAATTCCCTTCTTCGACATCAGGGCAATGGCTTTGCCATCCTGACAGAAGCGCTCAAACTCGGATTCTAAGCGCTTCAGAAGGTCGAGCACCATCCGATGCCCAGTCTCCAGGCTTGCCGGTGTGTCGCAGCTCAGGTTGAGCTTCAAGCCTCAGTAGCCCCATAACCATATTATAACAAGGGCACCCCTTTCTTGGTTGGTTGCTTTATAAGGGAACCCGGAACTCCAAAAAAAAGGGCAAAGGGCACCACTGGGCTACCAAGAAGCTCATGGGAGCCTCGAGGCCGCCACACTCATAGTGTCGGCTACCGCGCCCACGCAACCGGAGCTTGCCCCCGCACGCCTCGCTGATCCGCTTCATGTTGCTGCCCTTGCGGCCGTAGAGCTTGGGCACGAAGTCGAAGGCTGCCAGGATCTCGGGGCCTGGAAGAAATGCGTACTCACCTTGGCTGCACTTAGGAGGGTAGCTATGAGTTAAACTTTTATCTGCCTCATGAAGAAACCCAATAAAACCCCAAAAAGGCTAAGGATCTAAAGGCACAGTAAAGCACCACCAAGTCACACACGCAAGCAGCCCCACCCCTCTTCTTCTTCTTCTGCTGCTTCTTGGAGAGGTTGGGCTGCTGGCCCAGATCGCTGGAGGAGCATGTCGATCTTGTCGAGAGCGAGTCAATGGAAGGGTTCAGCTCCTGTATTTTACGAGCATTTCTGCTGGGGAGTGAGGCCCTAAGGCCTAAACCCTAGGCCCTAAGCCCTAAACCCTAAACCCCTAAACCCTAAACCCAATGCCGCATTGGGATCCTCACGACTTGAAGCCTTGAGGTCCGCCACCAAACCCGGTGCAAGTGGCGTTGAGCATGCGGGAGCCCTTGCGGAGGACCCTGCCGTGGAAGCCTGCAACGCCGGCGAAGGGCTGAAAAAAGGGGCCTGAATAATTAGAATGAGTTTTGGGGGTGTTTATGGTAGAACTACAAATGGGGCCATAAGGGCATGGTAGTAGGAACTATTCCGACCCCTACATTAGGGCTTAGGGCTTAGGGGGGGCAAGGGCTTGTGAAGTCTGCAAGGGCACCCCCTAACTACCTGGGCTCGAATGGACTGCCTTGCTCTTCTTCCTGTCCGTCAAGTGGTTCACGGCACTCACCACGGAGTGCGCCGGAGATCCCCCTCGTCGTTTGGCATGTTCTTGGCATCTGCCTCCTTCATTACCAACCCCCCTAGCTGGGGGCTCCCTGGCATCCCTGGCAGCACTGCGCTCATCGCCTTCATGGAGACCATGCTGGGGCAGTCCGACGGAAGTTCCACCACCGAGTCGCTCACCTTCTTCGCAAGACTGCGCAGCAAGACCTCCTTCCGTGCTCGGAGTGCCGCCGTGGCAAGGGGGTTCTCGGCTTCGAGGCCCGGGGGCGCCGCCATTCCCGGGGGCGCGTGGACTTTGAGCACACCCTCTGTGGTCAACTGGAGCTGGGGCATGAACTCCAGGAGGTCCTTGGGTTCAGGGTTTAGGGGTTTAGGGGTTTAGGGTTTAGGGTTTAGGGTTTAGGGTTTAGGGTTTAGGGTTTAGGGCTTAGGGCTTAGGGTTTAGGGTTTAGGGTTTAGGGTTTAGGGTTTAGGGTTTAGGGTTTAGGGTTTAGGGTTTAGGGTTTAGGGTTTAGGGTTTAGGGTTTAGGGTGTCAGAACGTCGAGCGAGGAGGATGCCATGCCGGCAAGTAACTTGCACCTACAAGTGGTCTTCGGGCCTATGCAGATGAAGAGACTCACCCTCGAAACAAGAGACTCCACATGACACACATGGGCACATGCACAGTCCTCAAAGTGGTGGTGCAGGAGGGGCTCTCCCATGGTGGAGAGGATGACCTCGGGGGCCTGGCTGCTGCCCCTCTTAAGATCCTCAAACTCGCTCACAAACCGGGTCATCTCCGCCATGGCAGCCCTAAATGCACTCCTGGAGCCGAAACAAACTCTTCGCACGGGGGGGTTTGCGGACTTTTGCTGGGCACGGCGGCGAGACCACGCAGCCAAAGCCTAAAGCGGCAAGTCCAAGAAACACACTGCAAGGCCTGGAATCAGAGGGCATGGGCATTCTGGGCCATGGTGAACCCCCCCCTTGTGCCTTTTGCAGGAGGGGCACCCTTGCCCTTGGCATCAAACCTGCCAGACATCAAAGAGAGGGCGCGCTCCGTGAGGCGTGTGGCCATGTGTGCCCTTGCCTACCCGTGACCCCCGCAGCCCCTGCAGGGGGTGTCAAGTAGCCTGAATACACCCTCCATCATCTGCATCTCAACACGCATCGTCGCATGCGGGCCTGGGCACCTCGGTCTCGTGCTCGTGATACCTGGCTCACAGGATTCACCCTCTACTGCTCGTGAACAGTTGCTGCCCTCTTGCATGAATGTCCCTCAGTGAGGACAAGCCAGCTTGTGTGCTACCCCTGCCAGCCCGAGCGCGCCTCTGCATCATCATGACGTGGGCCCTGTAGACCCCCAGCAGGGGGCCCTTGATGTGCATGGTTTGCTCCCTGGCACTTTAAAGTCATGAAGTCATGTTGATGCCGCTAGTGAATACTATGGACTATGGATTATTGATTGGTTTGTGTCCTAGCAGCACAAGTTGAGAGTTGGTAGGACTTGTACAGTTGCGGCTTGCTTGCTGAGCCTGCCCCCTCCTCTTGCGCACACCTGCTCCCTTTTCCTGGGCAGTTCGATCGCCGACGGTCAAGGCACGGATCACGGAACAGCTGGCCTTCACTCAGTGGCTCCGCGATCCGGAAAAACCTCAGTCAAGGTGTCATGTGGAACGGATCTTGACTCCAGCAGACGTCTTGTCCCTAAGACAAGCTCTGCATCAAACTCTCACCATAAGAGGCTCAAACTTCAGTCGTGACACTCTCTTCGACGAGGTGCCTGACAGCGTCGTACTTCGAGGGCACGCAACCATTGGCGCATTCGAGAGTGTGGCGGCACTTGCTGTGCAGCGCACACGCCGCAGCCTCCTCCGTGCAGTGCAAGGCCGCGCAGGTCTTGCTGGGTGGAAAGCCGGGGCAGTGCACGCGCATGCACTCCATGAGGGAGGCGAATTTCAAGGCATCCTCGGTCTTTGCGATGGGCTCGGTGCAGTGCAACTCGCACATCACGCCATTGCGGCAGTCCGACGAGAAGAGGCACTTGGCCAGGGTCGAGGTGCAGTTGCTCAGGACACACAGCGGACTCGGACTCAAGGAGGAGGGGTCCATGGGGCAGCCGCTGACGCAGCCCAGCGTGTCATCCACGGTGCTGTTGAGCAAAGCAGTTGCCTTGCGCAGCATCGCCTGCTGCAGCATCGTCCCTGTAGGCGTGGTCTGTGCTTGGGCGACCGCCAAGAGCGAGAGGGCCTTCAGCATCCACATCATGGCACAGGGGGCAAGGGCCGAGGTCGATTGCGCGCGATCTTCCTGTCTGAGCCGAGCTTTGAAAGCAGGCAAGGGCTCGAGTCAAGAGCCGTGTTTCGTGATTTCAAACACGCCTGGCGCCGGGTGGCAGGCCTTCGCCCTTGACCCATATCAACCCGGCCTCGCGCCCATCGGGACCTCGTCAAAGTGGATGTGGGTGCCGGTGGTGTGGCGTACATTCTGCACGGCAGAGATCAAGAGATAGAGTCGGAGGAAAGGCCCAAGCCCAAAGCTCTGTCCTAAACTTGCGTCCCTTTGGTGGCACGCTAGGATGGCCCCTAAAACCCTCTGCGACACATTCCTGAATATGATCCTCTTAAACCCCAACAAGGGAAGATCCAAAGGCCTACCTAGTTCGTATACAGCAATGAGGAGTGTTACCTAAACCCTAAACCCTAAACCCTAAACCCTAAACCCTAAACCCTAAACCCCCATACAGCAATGAGGAGTGGAGTCGGCCCATGGTGTCGAAGGCGGGGCACTTCCCAAGCATGCGGCGTTTGCTTGCACGACAGAGACCCTCCAGGATCGGCCCAAGTGAGAACTTCTCTTGGGTTTAGGGTTTAGGGTTTAGGGTTTAGGGTTTAGGGTTTAGGGTTTAGGGTTTAGGGTTTAGGGCTTAGGGTTTAGGGTTTAGGGTTTAGGGTTTAGGGTTTAGGGTTTAGGGTTTAGGGTTTAGGGTTTAGGGTCTAGGGTTTAGGGTTTAGGGTTTAAGGTTTAGGGTTTAGGGTTTAGGGTCCTACTACCAATCTCTGCCGAACCCTAAACCCATGCATCTAGGCCTGCAACTTCCCCCGAAATCCTACATGCATGAACTTGAGGGACCGAACAACTGACTGGTGCGAAAGTATTGAGAGGAGTGGATGTGGGAGCTGGAATGTGTATGTGCATATATATATATATATATACAGGGCCCTAGTATGGAATCAGGGGGGCTGAGGAATGTCTTGTGGGGCTTCACTCCTCTACTGGCGCCTGAGCCCAACATGTCAACAGCATGGTTTGGGGTTTTGAGTTCTAACTCAGGCCCTAAAACCCCTAAACCCTAAACCCTAAACCCTAAACCCTAAACCCTAAACCCTAAACCCTAAACCCTAAACCCTAAACCCTAAACCCTAACCCCACCCAAGCATGTCTGGGCCCTGGCACCCTCACAATCTGCCCTCCCGGACCGATCATGGCGCTGACCTCTGGTGATGGGAGGGGGTTGGGCTTAGGACGTTAGGGTTCAGGCTGCAGGCTTCGGGCGCGAAGTTGACATCACGCAGCGGGGGAGCTGGTTCTTAAGGCTCTTCTGGCACATTGCGCAGCACTGAAGCCCTGCTTTTGCTCAGCATAACCCTACCCTAAGACCCTCATGCCTGAACCCCAAAGCATAAGAAGCTGCGGGAAGCCGCGCCTTGTGCGGTGGCAGCTCGCAAGTCACCTCGTACCTTGGCCGGGGGGGAAAAACGGCATATCAACTCCCTGCTCGGTTCGATTCCTTCGAACCCAAGCTTCCTCAAACCACGAAAGCCTGACTCCCAAAACCCTAAGCCCCTCGTGAAGCCCTAAACCCGAAACCCTAAACCCTAAACCCTAAGTTTTGGCATCCGAGCAAGCAGAAGGCCATGTGGGACACCCTAGTTCTGGGCTCTGCTTGGAGGTTCATGGTACTTCGTAACCAAGTAGCAATTGCATGCACACTTGCAAAATTTGACCATTTTGGGGTGATTAAGGGGGCTTGCAAGTGGGTTATAAGTACAGTTTCAATTATCGCCCTTTTGGGGTGTTTAAGGGGCTTAGAAGTGGGTTGTATAAGTACAGACATTGGTTCTTCAGCACCAGGAACCTTCAAGTGGCAGCCACTAGGATGCCGCCCGCATCGACGGAAGCTTGGGGTTTAGGGTCTAGGATTTAGGGTTTAGGGTTTGGGGTTTAGGGTTTGGGGTTTAGGGTTTAGGGTTTAGGGTTTGGGGTTTAGGGTTTACAAGCTTTCGAAGGTCGAAGCCGCACTGACGACAGCGTCGACTTCCAAACCCTAAAACCCCAAACCCCAAACCCTAAACCCTAACCCTAAACCCTAACCCTAAACCCTAACCCTAAACCCTAACCCTAACCTAAACCCTAACCCTAAACCCCAAACCCTAAACCCCGAATTGTCTGAGGTATTCAGAGTTGGCATCGAGATTCTCTTAGCTCGAGCACAGACTGCGACGCAAGACCCAAACAAACATCCCACAAGTACGCATAGGGTTTCCCCATAAAATTAGGGTACCTATTTTGGGTGGTCAGAAAGAAGGGGGTTTAGGGTTTAGGGGTTTCGGGTACACTGATTTGGGGATAAGGTGTGCCCATATTTTGGGAGAAATACGCCAATGTCAAAAGGCTATTGTTCTAAACTCTTGTGCCAAGGCATGCCTAGGGCCAAGGTTTCCCTCCTCGCCCTTGCGCCGTGCTACTGCTTGGCCATGCCGGCGATGACGCCGACTACAAAACTTGGTACTCACACAATGCGTCGACCACCCCCCTTGCGCTCGCCCTTGCGCTCGCCCTTGCGCTCGCCCTTGCGCTCGCCCTTGCGCTCGCCCTTGCGCTCGCCCTTGCGCTCGCCCTTGCGCTCGCCCTTGCGCTCGCCCTTGCGCTCGCCCTTGCGCTCGCCCTTGCGCTCGCCCTTACACCCCCTTGCGCCGTGCGGGTTTTGTGTCGCAGCAAACACATGGCCGCCCTACTCTGCGTCAAGAGGCGGGGGTGTTAGACCAACCCTCCGGGGGCAATGAGCTTGCAGCCCAGGCACTCGTAATCCACGGCCCCGGGCTGCATGCCGCTCAGGGCCGACGCCAGCATCTGGGTTTACGGTGCAAGGTTGGGGGCTTAGGGTTGCGGAGCCCTCCTGCTGATGAACTTTTGCCCTAAACCCGAAACCCACTGCCCCTTTGGGCTTAGCAACAACGAGATTCCGTCAACCCAGCCCCTAAAGACCATGCAAGCAAGCAACACCGAACTCAATGAACCCTAAAGGCTGTTATCCTCCGGGGCACTTGAACTTTGCTCATAGTAACCCGAGACCCTAGACTCTGCAAGTTTTAAAGCTTGTCGCCACGCAACCTTGAGTCTCATAAAC